AGACTTGTATTCCATTTCTACCTTTTCTACTCTTTAAGAATGAGAGAAATGTTTATGGAATGTATAAAAATATTGGAAGAGTTAAAAAAACTCGAAAAGAATTGTCAAAGAATAGAAATTGTAGCCGCCGAAAAGAATATGAGTATATCTCTTATTATTACTACTCCACCTGCTCTGTAATTTCTTCACCCTCCAAGAAAAGCATTGTCTGTACAAATCACAAACATAAATCAAACTCAATTTACTTTCCGGAAAGTGAAAAAGTCATAAAACTAAATATACATAAGACGAGCAAGACTAAAGAACACGTCCACTCGGAAATAGACACAACCACGAATATGTGTTAGATATATTATAACCTTGGAACAAAAGGGACAAACTTTACTTCTCTCCATCCATTCATAGATGCATGCAAGGTGAAATATATGTCCACATTGCAACACTATCTTCGGGTTTTCATCAATATACTCTGTCTCCAATCCAAATAGGAATTGAATTATTAACACACACAATCTTAATCAATCAAAAGTTTTTTCAATCTCATTTCAAAGTTCTTTGAATAATTCTTTGGTTTACCATAGAAACATGTCGGACAAACGTCTTCTTCGTTGGCAACAGAGTAAATTTCCTCTCTTTCTAAGCTTGGAAATAGTTGCTCGAGCTGGAACAAAAATGTAAGTTAGCTCTTGTTCTTGGTAGAAAAAAAAGGAGAAATTAGGGTTTATAATGCAGAAGATACCTTGGGGGATAAGTTATTCGTTATTGGGTTAGTGAAGGCTCTGATTCTTGCAACGTTTAGAGATTCATCATTGTTCTCCGGAATTTGAAAACAACAAAGTAGAATACCCATTGATCTGAATTAATAAATCAACGTAAACTTATTAAATGGATATTAACAATGATAAAACACAAGATTTGAGCTCATCAATTAAGTAGGGAACTACGGTAAATAATCACGATTTAATCAAAGACGGGACATGGAAGAAATCAGAGAAACATAAGAACATTGATTTTAATGTTAAACTGTTCTCATACCTTGGACTTGGATCAATCTGTTGAAATCCAGAGAAAGAGAAAGAGAAGAAGAAGGACAAAAGAATCAATTAAGCATGAGAAAAAGCAACAAACTTTAGTTTTAAGGAAGATTTATTTAAAGCTTTGGTCCGTAATCGGAGCTAAGTAGGATTCTTTGGAGAGCAACACAAGGAAACGTGGAGATTTTGTGGGGATATTTTATGACTTGGCATACCAAAAGAGCTTAGGAAGTTTCATGTTTTTGGAATGTTGACTTGTTTTTTCAATTACCGGTTTACAAATTCGACTACCGTCGTTTATTGTATATCGTTTTATTCCTTAATCCTAGTGCAACTGTGCAAGAAAAGTTATATAAAAAAACTTCACTAATTCAAGAATTTTTTTTAGGGAATGAAAGATAAAAAAAGTGATCAAGGAGCTGGATTTTTTAATTTTTTTAATTTTAAAAATATTTAATCATAAATGTGTAACCAATGTAAAAAGTATGTGTTTCTTGGCACACGAAAAAGGAAAGGTATTAATTGGTTTAGAAAAAAAGGTAAGATAATTATGGTGGTTACATTTACTTGATATCATGCCAAATCCATTTAATTAAAAACCAAGTTGGAGATTTTGTTTTTTAAAATAACAAACCCACTTTTTTATTGGTTAATTAAATATGAGATCTATATGCAATCAAACCACACACCGAACAAGACATTTCTCTTGATAAACATTACGAACTTTTTTATTGGTTCCGTTAATTAAAGATCAGTTATGACAATTCATGTACTTTAAAAAAAATTATAGCTATGTTATGTTATATCACATGGCCCGTAACAATTATCGGTTGGCAGAAATTAGTGTTGGGACCTATGGTATGATGATGAGCATGATGAAGAAAAAGGGCCAACACTCGATGTCTAATAATAAAACAAAAGAGTTGAGACATCATTATCCATCATTTTTTTTTTTTTTTTTTTTTTGAATCTAATGTTAAATTATATTTAAAGAAAAAATAAACGTTTTTACATTTTAATGCAAACTTTTCTTAACTTTTAGGACATAGTTTTAAGGAAAATATTATCCTTAGCCTTGTCTTGTTGCGAACCAAGATTGGATGCCACCGGCAAAAGTAGAATTTCTTCCTCTTGTTGCGATCGTGCTCATCCGGTTGCGAACATTTTTATCTATCATTTTCACCAGTTTCTCCTTCGTTGAGCTTTGTTCTCCGTGTCTTCTGTTGTTCCTTTCTCCCCAAATAGAGTGAATGGCATTCTGAAATGTATAGGTAAGAAGAAATCTTTTTACCTTATCCAAGTATGGGCTTGCAAGTATTGTCATCACATCTTTCCAGCTAGCTGAGAACTTGTCGACGAGAATCCCTTTTGATAGTTCCTCCCACACCATTTGCGAGTAAGGGCATAAGAAAAACAAGTGGTCTCTTGTCTCCATTGGGTGTTTGCAAAAAACACAACTCGGGTTGACATTTTGGTTCCATTTTTGCATTCTATCACCTGTTGAGATTCTGTTTTTTACCACCAACCATGTAAGGAATGCATACTTTGGGGTAGCATTGGGGAACCATATCTCTTTGTGTCCTTCCATTAAAGGCTTTGCTGCTCTGATTTGGGACCACGTCTCTTTCGTTTTGAACTTCGTTTGGTAACATTGATTCTTACCTTTCCATAGCGCAACATCGTCCCCATGTTTGCGGTTCAGTTTATGTTTTCTTACCTCCTCTTCGATTTGGTTTAGCAAAGGTTGTCTATGGCTTCTTCTTCTGGTCATATTCAATACTTCTCCCAAAGTAGCATGTATCGGAATCCCCAAAGCAATACATCCTCTATCCCCCAACGAGTCATGAAGACGTCCCAGCGGGCTCCATGAATCATACCAAAAAGAAACAGAATCACCACTCAACACCTCAACACGATGAAACTGTTTTGCTTTCTCCCGGTATTTTAAAAGTTTTTTCCAAATCCATGATCCACACGTTGAGCTTGCCTTCACTGCCCAGAAAGAACCATGTCGAATGAGATATTTCTTAACCCAATCAACCCATAGAGAATCATGAGCCGATAGAATTCGCCAAATGAGCTTCAGAACACACACTTTATTTGCTTCTTCAATCGAGCGTAATCCCAGGCCACCTTCATGTTTTGGAGTACATACATCTGACCATGCAACCTTAGCTTTCTTGGCATTCAAAGAAGGTCCAGACCACAAGAATGCAGAACAGAGTTTATCGATTTCCTGGATACAGGCTTTAGGCAATCTAAAAGCTGAGATCCAAAAATTTGTGAGGCTGAAAACAACTGAGCTGAGCAGTTGAAGCCGACCTGCAAAGGAGAGAGTCCTGGCAGTCCATGAGCTTATCTGCAAGCGGATCTTTTCCAAAAGCGGGAGGTAGTCCGCAGATGTCATTCGTTTCGTCAACAGTGGCAGCCCCAAGTATCGAACTGGTAACGATCCATATTCAAAAGGAAATTGTTGTAGAATCTCCTCTCTTTTATCAACTGTAACCCCTGCCATATATAGTGTTGATTTTTCAAGACTAACTTTCAAACCCGAGTGAGTAGCAAAATCGTTGAAGACTTCAAGAGCCTCTTGGATAGATTTCTTTTCGCCTTTGACAAATACCATCAGATCATCAGCAAAACACAGGTGCGTGAGCTTCATATGTTTGCAGTTTGGGTGGTAACCAATGCGTTTGTCACTTGCTGCCTTGTCCAACTTATGAGATAGGACATTCATACATATGACAAACAGATAAGGGCTAAGTGAGCAACCTTGGCGGAGACCTCGTTCACTACCAAAGTAACCCGCAAGTTCTCCGTTAACCTGCACTGAGAAAGAAGCGGATGATATACATGTCTGTATCCAAAGAACAAACTGCTCTGGGAAATCCAAGGCTCGCAGCGTATTTAGAAGAAATCCCCACTGCACCGAATCGAAAGCTTTCGAGATGTCTATCTTCATTGCACAACGCGGAGAAACTGAATCTTTGTGATAGTCTTTTATGATCTCAGTGGCGAGTAGAAGGTTTTCCATGAGCAGTCTATCTTTAACAAAAGCTGACTGGTTTGGCGTGATGAATTTCGGGAGCATAATCTTTAGCCGGTTTGCGAGAATCTTTGAAATGACCTTATAGAGAACATTACAACAAGAGATTGGTCTGTAGTCCTTCATCACCTTTGCATCTTTCTTCTTTGGAATTAGAGCTAGGATGGTAGAATTTACTCCTTTAGGTAGAAACCCTGTCTTGAAAAAAGATTGAATCGCTACCACAAAATCGTCACCCACTGTCTCCCATGACTCCTTAAAAAATTCACAATTAAACCCATCCGGGCCTGGCGATTTGTTAGCGGGCATTGCGAAAAGCACCTTTTTAACCTCTGCCTTGGATACTTCAGTTGTAAGCAACCTCTTATCATTCTCATCACATTTGAAAGTTAAAATGTTTTCCAAATCCTCACGTGACCATTCAACGTAGTCGACATACTCAAAGCAATACAAAAGTATCAAGTAATTAAATAGAAAAATTAAAGTTTGGAGACAAAAGTATCAAGTAAATAGACATCTTTATTCACCCACAATGGATTTCGATAATTAGACCGGGGAGAAACATAATACAAAAGAACTCACGTAAATGATTAATCTACGGACTTAGAATTTGATAAACATAAAATGATTATATAGTATTATGTTAGTCATTAGTCATTGCAAAATTCACAACGATTCTCTATCCCATTAGATTGTGAATATGGAATGTGGATGTCGGTGCTATACACTACACAAAATGTCTAAGGGGCAACCAAAAGAAGGATAATAACTACTCATTAAATAAAAATGTGGGTACTAAAGTTTGGGGAGAAACTGAGGATTACGTATATAAAAGTGTGGGGAGCTACCAAAAGCGAGATCATGATTACTCATTATTCTATAGCTCTTAATCTCATTTAGTTTCTCCACCATCTTATATCATCTTCTTGTCCTTCCATTGGCAAAGAGTCAAAGAGAGAAAGAGAGATAGAGAGAGAGAAAGAGAGAAAGAATGGGAAAGAAAGGAGAAGGGTTCTTTCTGAGCAGAATAAGGGCTAATGTAAGAGTCCAACCACCGACAACTACGAGCCAGCATGGCTGCAGCCACGAGCCACCAACCACCTCCATAGGGATAAAAGGAAGAAGAATAATGGTTGTGGTTGATACTTGCTCGGAGGCTAAGAACGCTTTGCTTTGGACTCTCTCGCATTGTGCTCAGCCTCAAGATTCCATTCTTCTACTCCATTTTCTTAAAGCTAAAACCTCTCAATCAGGTCAATTCTCTCTTTCTTGTTCTTATAATTTAATCTCCCACAATAATAATTATTGTTGCTTTTACTTATATATATGCTTTGTTTTCTAGGTGATCTAGCTAACAAAAAAGAAGGAGAAGAAGAATCTTGTGACAAACCAACAACGTCAAGAGCTGATAAAAAGGTTTCAGCCTTGAAAACCATGTGTGAGCTTAAAAGACCTGAGGTTCATAATATGTCTCTTTACCATACTTTTCTTTAATTATTTACGAATAAATAAACAGTTTTTTTTTTTTAATCTCAATTAATGTATATTCTTGGAAATAGTATATATGGTTCTGAATAGTAAACATGGAAGAAATTGATGGAATAAGACATAGGTAAACTAGATATGAAAAACAGAAAGAATAATTTACCATGCACATTCTTTTCGATGAATATTTTCCTTTTGAAATTTTGTTTATTTTAAAGTCGAATTAGCGAATATATTATATATATATATATGTTCATTTCATTTTGCACAACACAAATCATCAGATTTTCGTTAAGTGTTGTATTTAATTTAAGGAACCATAGTATATCCCTTTAACTAGATATCAATTTCCACCATACATATATTTAAAACATTTTTTCCTACTCTAATATCTAGAAAGAAATGAATCAATAATTTGTTGGATTAGGTAAAGACAGAAGTGGTGGTTGTAAAAGGTGACGAGAAGGGTCCGACCATAGTGAAAGAGGCAAGAGAACGAGAAGCGTCCTTACTAGTTCTAGGCCAGAAGAAACAACATGCCACATGGCGGCTACTAATGGTATGGGCGTCGCAGGCCCGACCCGTGACCAAACACGACTTCGTCGAGTATTGCATCAACAACTCTCCTTGCATGGCTATTGCGGTTCGTAAGAGAGGCAAGAAACTTGGTGGATACACTCTTACAACTAAGCGTCACAAAGATTTCTGGCTTCTTGCCTGAAATAGTAATCTATTCACATCTAAATTAATATAACCTTTTTTAAAAAAATTACTTTAAACCATGGTTGTGGATTTGTGGGTGCAATTATTTTACGACTTTTATTTCTTTCAATGTATTTGATTGTGTTTGTATGTAAAAAACTTTAGTCAAAGTATGGATTTCTTACTGCTATAAAAATGTTTAGGGGTATAAAAACGAGTTAATATGTTATTTTTGGAGCGGATTAAAATATTTTGACGGATTAGTTTGCTCTTAATAACATTTTGCTACTTATCATGTCTAGTTGTCTACGGATTGTTTCGCTGTCCGCACGAATGTAGTTTTTTGGTCCGGACAGAAATCCTGGGGAATACGATTCTTGATAAACTAACCCGCAAAACCGAGTTTTTTATCCAAAATTATAGTTTTCTATGATCAAATCCCGAATCTGACAAGATTATTCCTTTTTCTTTTGTGCGAACTGCGAATTACTAAATACAGTAAAACCTCTATAAATTAATAATGTTGGGACCATGATATTTTATTAATTTATAGTGATATTAATTTATCTATAAATTAATACTTATTAATTTATAGTGTAAATTAATATTTATTAATTTATAGAAAGTTTTGTTTCAATTGTGGAAACTTTTTTTAAAAAAATACGAGCTAAAACAATGTGATCTAAATAAAATTAATGTTTTGGATGTTATAAACTTTATAGTTTTAGCCTTAAACACTTAATATTTCGAAGAAAAAATAATTTATTTTGACAATGAATAACAACGATTATAGAATTCACATATACAAACGATATACATAAATTAAAATTCACAAATAGTGACATTCATTTTTGTATTTTAAAAACCTATACGACTATTAAAACAAAAATTATGCATATTCAAAATTTAAAAACTTACAAAAACTTTTGGCTATTTTTATGAAAAACACTAAAACTATTATATATATATATATATATATATATATATATGTATGTGCAAATTTACATGATTATTAATTTATGACATTATTGGGACTATATTTTTATATAGGGATTTCAAAAAATTTATTATCTTATTATCTTATCGAATTTGGTTATTTTTTACACTGGCCCGACTCGGGACCGACCAAATTTATTAATTTATCGTGTTTATTAATTTATCGAGTATTAATTTATAGAGGTTTTACTGTATGAGATTTCATTTCACTGAGCAATTTCATGTGTCCACCAATTTCCCAAAAGAAAGGCCCAGATTGGGCCTTAAATTAAAATATGGGCTTTTGGGTCAAACTATATCCGACCCGCCCGCTTCATCGTCTCCTTGTAGCCTGAGCAATCGATATAGGTTAAACAAACAAAACTCTCCCAAAACCTTGTTTCGTTACTGTAATTCGTAAACCCTAGCAACCACCGTCACCGCCGCCGCCGGAGCAAAAATATCATGGGGAAAGATAACAAAACGAAGAAGAAGCCTAACAAAAAAGGCGAAAGAAGAATGGGACCAGATGCAGTCGCCATGAAAGCTAAAACCCAGAAGGTCGATAATCCATTTGAATTAATCCGATCTCGCCGGAAGTTCGATATCCTCGGAAAGAAGCGTAAAGGTGAAGAACGGTTCGTCAGTGTTTCTCGAACTCGAGCTGTTGATAAGAGGAAGAACACGTTGCAGAAAGAGTATGAGCAAAGCTTAAAAGCTTCGGTTTTTTTGGATAAGCGTATTGGAGAACACGACGATGAGCTTGGTGAATTCGATAAGGGTATAATTCGATCGCAGAGACAGCGTCAGGTTAGTTGTTTGATGAGAGGAGAATCATATTATACTTCACTGAGAAAGAAACTGAATTTGTGTATGTTTTGTTTTATGGTAATGTAGTTGAAACTAGCGAAGAAGAGTATGTATAATTTGTCTGATGGGGAAGAGGATGTATATGAAGATGGTGCTCTTGGTGGTTCTTCTGTAAGGGATGATTTTGATTCTGGACTTTTGTCAGATGAAGATCTTCAAGATGATGATCTAGAAGCTTCTGCATCAAAGAGTATGTTTTTCTTGATAACATTTTAATAGATTCTTCAACTTTGATTGTGTCTGTTAAACTTTGACAAAGCTAATGTTGTCTATCCATCACAGGACTGAAGCATCTAAACAGAAACAGACAGGTTGACGCATCTGGAGAGGAAGAGGTAAGAACGCATCTGTGTGTAATTTACCTTGATGGTTGACTTATAAGGTCTTGAAGATATTCTTGGATTCTAATTGCAGAGACATAAGAGCAAGAAGGAAGTAATGGAAGAGATCATCATGAAGAGCAAACTTGGCAGGGTGACGATTCCGCTGTTTTCCTGGTATCTTCTTTTGCGTGGCATGTCAGTATGCAGTTGATAATTCTTTATATTTTGTGGTCTCCAGATGGAGAAAGCTAAGCAAAAGGAGGAAAAGGGAAAGCTAATGGATGAGCTGGATGAAAATTTCAAGTCCTTAGTGAATTCTCAGGCGATGGAGAGTTTAACTAAGCCTTTTGATGTCGAAGAGGTGAACATAGATCACAGTTTGTAGTTGTTTAAATACTGAGCATATGTATCTATATGGGTGTTATCAAGCTTTTCTGTTCATAAGTTTTCTTTTTCGTTTAATCCTTTTGTCTGCAGGATACACGCAATCCTTATGTATTAATGCTGAATGATATGGCAATGGATATTCGTGCTCGTCCTTCTGAGAGGACAAAGACACCTGAAGAAATTGCCCAGAAAGAGCGAGAAAAGTTAGAGGCTCTTGAGGTATGTCCTGTCAAAAGCCATTGTAGTTTTACATTGATTGTTACGAAATATATATGATAAACCACTATAAATAAGGGCTCTTATCTTATTGTGAAGTCAAGGTCTTATGGTTGACATCATTTAATCTTTATACAATTTTTCAAAACTCTTAGGAAGAGCGTAAGAAAAGGATGCAGGAAACTGAGGAGTTAAGCGATGGGGATGAGGAAATTGGCGGCGAGGAATCAACAAAGAGGCCAAGGGTCATTTCTGGTGACGATCTTGGTGATTCCTTCTCAGTTGAAGAAGATAAGCCGAAAAGGGGATGGATTGATGATGTTCTTGAAAGAGAGGATGATGTTGATAATTCAGAAAGTGATGAGAATGATAGCTCTTCTGAGGATTCAGAAAGTGAAGAAGAAGAAGATGATGAGTCAGATGGGGGTGATGAGAAGCAGAGAAAAAGTGAGCAGAGAAAACGTCATCATTTAGAAGACTGGGAACAAAGTGATGATGAGCTAGGGGATGAGCTGGAAGATGAGGAGGAGGATGATGATGAAGAAGATGATGAGCCAAGAGTACATAAAAAGTTGAAGAATGACTATGCAGCTCCAAATAAAGGAGAAGGGTTGTCTGGAACAGTGAAACAAAAAACCAATATGAAGAAATTGAGTTCAACGCAGCGTGATATTCCGTTCATGATTGATCCTCCAAAAAATTTCGAGGAATTGCTTGCCCTAGTGCAAGATTGTTCAAATGAAGATGTTATTTTAATTGTCAACCGAATCCGGATAGCACACTCAATTAAGATTAAAGCTGAAAACCGAAAAAAGATGCAGGTAAGATTTAATTTTGCTCTCAAAGATATAATTCTGGTTAAATTTTCAGGCCATTTCATACCTCACTTGCTTTCTGACTGTTTATTGTTGTTTGCCACCCAGGTCTTCTATGGTGTTCTCTTGCAGTATTTTGCCGTTCTTACAAGCAAAAAGCCCTTGAACTTTGATTTATTAAATATGCTTGTCAAACCTTTGATTGAGATGAGCATGGAGATCCCCTACTTTGCTGCAATATGTGCTCGCCAGCGGCTTTTAAAGACCCGTGCACAATTTTGCGAGGCTATCAAGAATCCAGGTTTGTGATGCTTCCATAACCTTGAGTTTTAGTGTCCATTAAGATACATGCCTCTAGTATCTTTTCACCCTAACCAGTTCAGAAACATTCTTTCAGAGGATGGATGCTGGCCTTCTTTGAAAACATTGTTTCTCTTGCGGCTCTGGTCCATGATTTTTCCATGCTCTGACTTTCGCCATGCTGTGATGACCCCATCGATATTGTTGATGTGTGAATATCTCATGCGCTGTCCCATTTCCTCTGGTCGTGATATTGCCATAGGTTCCTTTTTATGCTCCATTGTTCTTTTGGTAAGGAGAAGTTGATCCCCACCCTTTTTCTTCGCGATTTCCATTTTCATTTTCTCATGCAAACGAAAATGTACTGTAGGTTGCTAAGCAATCTAAAAAGTTCTGTCCTGAAGCCATATTATTTATTCGGACTCTCCTGATGGCTGCTTCAGACAAAAAGTCACCATCATCTGCGGAATCTGAGGTGCGTCTTTTAACAAAACCTCGTTTTGTATTGTGCTTATAATTGTAGATTGATAAAATCCTATTACTGCATCTAAGAAGTAAGAACTGAAGATGCACAGTGCCAACTGTTATTACCAGGCTGATGAGCTGTTGTGTTTTGTGTTACAGTTTTATCATTTCATGGAATTAAAATCGTTGACTCCATTGTTGTGCATACAAGACAACGTAAAGGAGGTCATGCCTTTAAACTTCCTAAAGATAATGAATGAGCCAGCAGACTCTCCATATTTCAGCTCTGATGATTTCAGGTCTGTTCTCTCTTCTGAAATCAATTTTCTTTCTAAGACATCAACAGCCAGCAAAAGTGTGTGTAATAATACGTTTGGCTTTGGTTCAACAGAGCAAGCATCCTTTCAAGTGTGGTCGATACTCTTGGAGGGTTTGTGGAGATAAACGGAGGATTGAGTTCCTTTCCAGAGATCTTCATGCCCATCTCAACTTTATTGCACCAAATTGGGAACCAAGAAAAGATCCCACAAACTCTCAAGGAGAAATTAGAAGATGTCGCAAAGCTAATCGAAAAGAAAACCGACGAGCATCACAAGGAACGCAAACCACTCTCTATGCGTAAGCATAAGCCAGTAGCCATCAAGATGGTCAATCCCAAATTTGAGGAGAAGTAAGTCTCTCCCCTAAATTCATTCTCTCTCACTCAGTCAATAGTCAATACTTACACAGACCACACGAGATAATCTCTATAATGGTGTATATACGTTTGTTGTGCAGCTTTGCTCCAGGCAGGGATTACGATCCAGACAAATACCGTTCTGACCTCAAAAAGTTGAAGAGAAAGTTAAAACAGGAAGCCAAAGGAGCAGTGCGTGAGCTGCGCAAAGATAGCTACTTCATGAGCTCGGTTAAAGCAAAAGAGAAAGCTGTGCAAGAGCAAGAGAGAGCAGAGAAACATGGCAAAGCTTGGGCTTTTCTTCAAGAACAAGAGCATGCTTTCAAATCTGGACAACTTGGTAAAGGCAAAGGCAAGAAGAGAAGACGTTGATACCATTACCACTGTGTTTGTTCTATTTTTCCCTTCTTTAAACCTACCAACACAATTTTGTTTTTTTGTTGGATAATCAAAAAACTATTTACAGAGAGAATTATCCCTTCTAAGAGATTCAAAAAAAGATTTTCATAAAACGTCTTTGGTCAATGTTAGTGAGCAATAAGCTTAAATTTGTCCTTCATGCGAGCAATAAGCTTGAATTTTTCTTCTGCTTCAACTTGCTGTTTAATGTCACCTCTTGATGCTCTATCAGGATGAAATTTCAATACGGCTCGTTTGTAGGCTGCGTGTACCTAATTTTACAATTGGTTTCGATCATGATACATGAATACAAAAGCAGTTAACAAATATAACTAACTGTAAAAGATAGATGAAGAGCTAACCTCATTTGGCAGAGGAGATATTCCACCACCAACTTGAATCCCTAAGCCTCGAAGCAACGATGCCATGTTAAAGCTCTTGAGTTCCAGCAGTTTAAGTGATTTGGTTATTTCTGCACGGACTTTCTCCTTCATGTTCATGCTTTCTTCATCCTGTGATATAGAGATAGAAAAGAAAAATGTGTATTAGCAGCGAATCAACACGTTATTCAGAGAAACCACTGAGGAAAAGTAGAAAACCTTCTTCTGTGTCTCTCTCACTTCCTCTACCCTCTCTTTTTGCCTTCTTTCCATCTCCAACTGTCGCGTGTTCTCTAACTTTCTTCTCTTTCGTTGCTTCTGAGCTTCGTCTGCCTGTAATAGGCACAATATAATTCAGCAGACAGAAACTAAGTTGAATAGGTTCTTTGAAGGTGAAAGAAACACTTAAGGTCGATATAATTCACCAGTGGCCACACTTCAAGTTTTCAATATTTAACGGGAACTTCAAAAATTTGAGCAGAGTGTGGTCAAACCTGGATCTGTAACTGTTGTTGCCTGGACTCCCATTCTTCTTCTTGTGCTTTCTTGTATTCATCAGTCTCCTTCAACATCTCTCTGTTAAGCATGACATCAATTGCAGGAGCTGTACCATTACTACCTTGCATATGTCCACTTGTAGATGGAATTGGATCAATGATCGGTTCTCTTGATTCATCTAAACTCGAGATCCCGTGCTCACACCTGGCTCCATTACTTTGGGTGCCAAGCACATGTGTTGTATCTCTACCCCCATCAGAAGTCTCTGGCGGAGAAAATTTTGAGGCGTCTTCTTCTTCTTCAACTTCCTTGGTATAAGACTGATACGCAACATTTTTCGTCTGGTTCTCTTCAGGTGACTGTGAAGTTTCACGTTGAACTTGCACTTTGTTTGGCTGTTCTACAACTTTTTTGAAACTAGTTTGATGTATCGGTTCTTTTGGCGAAGTAAAATGAGATGATGATGTATCAAACCTTTCATGTTCAGCTCGTATTTCGGGTGACAGTGGAGAAGGCCCCCGAAAATCCTCTTTATTGAAAAAACTAGAATTAGCACAGTGTTTAGCTCGGCTGTCTTCCTCCATTACCGAGCCAAAGTAAGTCGCCATATCAGGAACTCTACCATCGGTTCCAAAGAAAGTAGAAGAGGTTTCTTTTTCACCATCTGGATTACTTGCAGTAGAGAAGAAAGATGTTTGATCATGTTGTTCAGTTCTACTTTCAAAACCAGATCTGAAATTATTGTCACAGTGGAGATTTGAAGGACCAGCTTCCTCACTCAGACCAGCTTTTCCACCATCTGGAGTTCTTGCAGCAAAGAAGAAAGATGTTTGATCATTTTGTTCAGTTCTTCCAAAACCAGGCCTGAAACTAGCGTCACTGTGGAGATTTGAAGGACCAGCCTCCTCACTCAGACCAGCTTTACCTGCTTTCTTCATTTTTCTCAAGAGAGCTGCTTGTTCCCACTGCTCGCGGACCTCTCTATGAGTCCCTTCTAAAATCTCACAATCAGAACAGTCGCTCTCGGAAAAGTCACTGTCAGTATCAGAGCCTAAACCAAATCGAATTCCAGAAGAGGGCATTGTAGAGAAAGTCTGTTTGCATTTTGAAAATCTAAAAGTAGCACACTTTTCTTGAATGAATTGGCAATCGTCATTATCCACTTCTGCAGATGTTTGCAAGTTAGCAGCAGGAGGATTACCGCTTGAACTACTCCCAGCTTTCTGAACATTTTCCGTCTCATCATCATCGTCAATGCTAATCACTCTCGGTAAAATGGACTCCTTCCTGGTTCTGGATGTACCTGGAGCTTTACATTTTGATGACTCAGGAAAATCAAGAATGATAACCTCATCATCATCTACCAAAATAAACTCTTCCATTATGCCATTTGCACTGCATCTTTTGGTTGGCATTCTATTCCAAGAACGTGATCTAATCTGACGATTCTCTCCCATTACTTCCTTACGATGCACATACATAGAACGCATGAACTCGTATCAAGGTTCAAAGCAAAGCATCCGTTTTGCAGTTGAAGATATCCATATAGCTAAAACCACCTATAAGCAGAGGAGACGCAAATTACACATCATTACAACTATAACCAGATTCTTATTCCCACAAAGCACTCTTTTCACATATTCATCAAAATCAGCTAAAACTAAATTAGGTAACAACTCAAAACAAAGTGAATTTGATAAACTATTCACTACACGCTACGGAACCTAGAAACGATCATAGACATGAACTAAGTTTCTAGAATCTACCAAACGAAACCTAATCGTCGTAATTGAAAACCTAATCGTCGTAATTGCTAGGTTTTACGGTCTATCAAGGAAAATCGAATCAAATCAAAATTTTGAAAACGACCCACTAATTTAAGGATCCAAGTGAGGAAAGATTTGAAGAAAATCGAACTAACCTCTCTCGACAACGACGACGGAAGACGAAGACGAAGGCTTAAAAACTGAACCCTAATTTTTGGGTTTGAGGAAAAAAAAAGGAACACAAAATCAAATAAAAACGAAGTTTGGGAGAAAAGAAAAAGATGATTGAGAGATTGAGCGACTCGTGCCCTGCACCTCAGGAAACGTCGTGGCCTAATGGCCCTAATCGATCAGAGAAAATGGGTTTTGTTCGTTGATTGGTCGGTCTTTGGATTAAGAGTGAAACTCTTGTCACCGTAAACATATCTCTCTCACTTTGTATTAATTTTCTTTGTGACTTTAGAACAAGTTTTTTTGGTTTTTATTTTTTTTCTGGAATAATGTAGGGTTTTTAGACGTTTAAATTAGAAGTTTTGTAAGTTTTTTTTTTTTAAAAAAGGGAATTATGTAAATCAATGAGAATTTTAATTTAATTTAGTACTTGATTTTGTTATTTTTCCTTTATTGTAGTCATCAAATCGCAATTTCATATACATCATATTTAATTCTTGTTCTTGAATTCCTTTTCTTCTTCGTAATTAATCAAGTGGGCAAAACGTGTTTTAAGTAGATTTTTGATTTAGACTTTAAAGGAAACATGTGTAAATGAGAATTCAATTTTGGTAACCCACATATATATGTATATCCAAAATTAAGTCTAATAATGCAATAAGTAACTCCTTAATATATAGTATGTAAAGATAATACAGAAATGTCAAAGACTTAAAAGTAGTTAGGTAGATTAAGTCAAGAAATAATCTGACGGCTCCAATATTCTTATGATCTTTATCCAAACGAAACGACAATGAATTTGGTCATACATTATCATCTAGTTAACTTTCTAATAATTTCAAACAAATATGTAAAACCTTTTTCATTTTTCTAGAAATTTTACCAAAAAACTTAAGATTATTCATCAGTTTCTACTTTCTACTCTTAATTAAATTTTTGTGTTATAGGAAAAAAGGTTCCTACGTCAACGCACCATTAACAATGTGACGAAGAAAAATTAACAGGGTTAGTGTTAAAACTCACAAACTTCTCTTTTCTTTATCAAAATAAAAAAAAAAACTCACCAAAAAAAGATCAGAATTAAGAACATAAGGGCAATTCTCATTAATATCACTAAAATGACTTTATTTTCCAAAACAACCATTATTAGTTTTATTTTCCAAAAATACCACTAAAATATATTTTTTCTAAAAATACCACAAAACTAAGCTAAACTTTCAACCTTCAAAACTAAACCCTAATTTTTAAAGAGTAAACCCTACCCCCTAAAAGCTATACCCTAAATCTAAAATAGTTAACCAAGACCCAAAATTTTAAATTCTACACTCTTGAAAATTAATTTCGTGTTTATGGTAATTTTTGGAAAAAAAAAAAAAACTTTTAGTGGTATAATTTGGAAAATTAAACTAATAGTGGTATTTTTGAAAAAAAAAAACTTGAAAGTATGGTACTTTGAGGAATTTCTCAAACTAAGAAATCAAGGTTTATATATTGTGATTGAAAGAAACTTGTACATTAAATAAGAAGAAAATTTTCCATTAGGTTTGTTGGTAGCTGTGGAAGCATGTAAAAAGGTCTTGTCTGCTCTAATTTTTGGACCAATTATATTACACCAAATTCAATAGGTATTAATTGGTGTGAGTGGCGTGAGGTGCACACACTCCTTGAATAATTTCTTGTAGAGACAATAAATCAGAAACAAAAGTTGGTGGAATATAGTGGCATTGGACAAGATTTATGATGCACAATAAGCTAAGATTTTGTACAAAATATAAATGATGTTTTAACAAAATAAAATCTTCAGTCTAATCAAGATTGAGAGAAGACGATCTTTGTGAAATTTGTATAGAGACAATAACAGATTTGAATCTACGTTAATATGTTGAAAATTTCAATTAAAAAAGTTCCAAAATAGTCATTACAGAAGAAAGAAGAAGGAACCTAAAAATGGAAAGAGAAAAAAAAATTAGTGAGAGGTGGTGGTTGGATTAGGTTGAAGCATTGAAGGAAGGACGAGAGGAGACAAGAGAGGGATCGGATCTGTGCCGTTTTGACAAAACGCAGACGCAGAAACACCTGTCGTAGTAGAAGGAGCCTCCGCGGAAGGAGGAGGTCTTGGTGGTAAGAGAAGAGGACAAGGAGCTCTTCTCTGAAGCCTGCAGCTTAAAGATCGCCGGAAAACGCAATCGTCGTTGTGAACTCTCATCTCAAAACCTGGAAATGGATCTCCTTTACGTCCTGAATCCTCCATTCTTGCTTCTTGATTCTTGTTTCTTGATTCTTGGTTCTTGATTCTTGATAAAAACTGATAATGTATATATCAAGTCTTGTTATGTGTGTGGATTGATGTTTGGGTTTGTTGATGTTTTATATGTTGGATGTGTTTTTTTCTTTTAAAGGGTTAAAAGCTGATTTTTAAAGAGGGAGATGATAAGAACGAAATTAGGGGTTGCTTAGCGTGAGGATTTTAATAGAGAAATTAATAGTATGGATAATAATAAAGAAGAAAATCCATTTTTAAAAACGTAAAAAATTAGAAATTGGGTGAAAGTGTGGTTGTTGTTGTGGTGCCTGTATTGACTCAATATGGCAAAAAAAACAAACAAAAAAAAACCTGGTCAATGGTCAATAGATTGGATAGATATGAGATCTATTATAATGTTAGTGTGTTTTTTTTTTCTTTTTCTTAATAAACGTTTTTATGTTTAGTCTTATATTAGATGAGAATTTTAATTTTGGCATGAGGAATGCGTTATTGTTGGAAACATGTGTGGCCGCTTACGGCCGTGTATTTATTTTTAGGTTTTAGCTAATTCTTCTAGATGAAAATGCATAATGTTTTATATATATCGCATAAATGCATAATGTTGTAATTGGAGAAGAAAAAGAAACTAAGAAAAAAATGATGTTAAATATGCATGTGATAGTCTGCAATATCATAATTTATAAAGACAATCTCTGAAACTTAAAAGATTTCCTCTGCCATGAAGAATCCTAAACCCACACAGAAAGCCATGTAATTGAGACGAGTCACATGTCAATATGTTAGTTTAGTAATTATGAGAAATTTCAAATTGAAAAGACAAAAAATGTAAACATTTAACAATGAATGTGAAAAAAATTGGGCGGTGTTGTGGTGGTGGGGAGGTGTATCACTTTGTTGGTCTCAACATGTGACTCGAGAATCTATTATACACATATCTTCATCGACATAGTTTCAGTAAACACGCCCCCATAAAGTGTTCGGTGGTGACAATATCTACACACACCTTCACATGTTCATTTTTATTACATGTTATAGATTAGATTTCTTTTATACAAATTTTACTCATGAAAACTCTGTTGCAATTACGTATAATGTTTGTTTTCGATATCATAGGCCAATAACAAAAAACTAATCAATTTTTGGTGTAACTATGTCTTATTGTAATTATTTTGTTTTAGGCCATGGAAATTTTCATTTGACAGAAATAATCTGAAGAAGAAGATAATGAGGATTTGATATATATACAAGAGAAGGTTAACACTTGACACTTAGTCATGACATCAACTAGTTGGATCCTAGACCAAGAATTTAAGATTATATCTGGTGATAAATTTACAGATTCTTCTCAATTTTAAAGCAGTTAAAACCTAGAGGAGATTGAACCTCACAGCTAAGTGAAGTTCTTCTTCAAGAGTAGGATCGGACCAAGCCAAAGTTGACAAAAGATTTCGACTTGAAGAGACCCCCAAAGAGAAACCTGGTTGGGGATTCGTGAGAAGGCGATTTCTGTCTTTGTTGTTGTTCTTGAGGGTTGTTTTTGACTTTGAGGATAGTTTGGCCTATGGTTTGCCTTATGGAATCTATGGTCTTAGCATCGATTGAGTAACCAGATGCATCGCTGACATAGAATGTGTTTAGAGCTTTTCCTCCTTTGGTTTTCACTTCAGCTCTTGTGACTGTTAGGCTGTTTTCACGGAATATGCGGGTCACATTTGACAATAAGCCTACTCTATCCGTCGTGCACAGTTCCAACTTCAATCCCTAAAACATCAAACAATGATCTTTCAGTAACAGTTACAAAAGAGTATATACCATAAAACTATATATTCCTGGATCATGTACCTCAGATACTCTTCTTTTGATAGCTGCTTCAAGACATTGTATGACTCTTTGCTTCTCTGCCTCTGATTTTACAGGGGATCCATCTATATGTCTCACATAATACTCCTGCAAAGCCAAGACAAGACAGATAAGAAAATGGATTCAGGGAAACTCTCTGCTCTACTGCTATGGGATCTTTCTTTACCTGATATGCCTCTGTGCCCTCAGTATCAACACTTCCATGGAAAACCACATACTGCATATCAGTCAAAGTGCAGACTGTGTCAAACAGAAGCTTTGGTCTGTCTTTACATCTAACTGTGACCACAGAGTAATCCTTATCGAGCCAATTATCAACACAAACATCCGGTCTTTGCCTTTCATCTTGGATGGAGGACTCATCGTCCACCAAACGGTGTTCATAGTCTCTATCTTCAAACATCATCTGATGAAGCCTCCTATCCGTGTGAACCTCACCGTGAGACACTACGGTTTTAGCTTCCCTTGGTGTGTTGCTTCCTTTAAGCACATTTCTGAGGAGGTTCTTGATCCGAGACAACCTCTCTGGATCAGAAATGCCACACCCCGTCGAGTCATCTGTGACCTGCATCACAGCAGCTGCTCTGGTGTTATGTGTCCAAATCTCAGCGTTTAGGACACTGCATTTGAGATGGGTCAAGACAGCTGACAGTTCAGACAGCAAGCCTGGTCTGTCACATCCGGTTAACTCAATAACCGTGCTGTCTGTTGATGGTATGACACCAACTGATCTCATGGAAGTGGAGAAACAAGCTTCAGGCCCCAGAGACTGAGAATTAACCACAACACACTCATTAAACTCTCATTCACACATAACTCACAATAAGAAAAAGAGAACAAGTTTAAAAAAGACTCACCTTTTGGATATAGTCAAGAACAACTTCATCAGTGACTTTGTTACCATCTTGATCAGTAACATTAAATACTGCCAAGTTGACGAGAGAATATATAAGAGAATCAATACCTTGATCAAAAGCAAGACAATCCAAAAAAGGACCATTTAAGAATTAGAACATACCATCCATAAACCAACCACCATCAGAAGATATGTACGCCTTAGTGATAGTAAGGTTAAGATCAGTAAGGATTTGTACAACTTCAAGAAGAATCCCATATTCATTTGCACTATCCACCTAACAACATCAAGAAAACAAAAAAAACAAAACTTCAGGACAAGGCTACATAAATGATAAACCAGATATGAATGTACATGAACCAAAATTAAAAAGTACCCTTATTACAGTTGCCTTCTTGCAAGAGTCATTATCAATCACAACCCTGAAAAAAAAAAACAGAGACTTTATCCAAAATCATATCACTATTAAAAGTAGTTATAGTAACAAAAAGGAAGGAGAAAGAAAAAGATGAAATATACCTTGGTGGATTCATTCTTCTTATAAGTTTCTCATACTCATTATCCATATCTTGTGAAAAACTCATACTAACATCTGTAATCAAAAAAATTTCCAAAAAAAATCAGTGAGTTTTAAAGACAGAAACTTTCAAAAACCAGAACAAAACCCATGAAAAAAAATCTCTTCTTTCTCTCTGTTTTCTTGTTAATAACAATAAACAGAGATACCACCGACATCAAATCCTAGGTAAACTTCTAAAACAGCTTAACAGAGAAAAACCCAGAAGAACAATGAAAAACAAAAACAAAAACCCTTTTAGTCCTAATTTCATAAAACCATAACAAAAAAAAAAAGCTTTCACCTGCAACTACCAAATACTGAAAAACCCATAACTATTAATGGAAATCTCTTGCCAAAAATCGTATGAAGAAGAATCAACAATGAGAAGAAAAAAAGAAGAAAAAAAAAAACGTACCCATTAATGTTCCGTTTTGGGTTTAAGCCACTCTTTGAATCTTGACACTTGAGAGAGAAGGAGAAAAATAAAGTAGTTTCAGTAAATTTCGAAGGAGCAAAAGGTTGGAGAAAGACCTGCATATATAATGGCGACCCACAAGATCTTTTTTTTTTTAATATCACTCTAATAATATTTCTTTAAAATTATTAAATTAAAAATGGAAAATTAAACCAACAAAAATAGAAATTAATCTGACACGATTCTCCCATAAACGAGCAACTCTCAGGAAAAAAAAAATATTTTTCTCTTTATATTATTTTAACTTTCCCGCGGCTTCGATCGAAGGAAAAAAAAAAAAGATTTTGCTTACTGTTCTTAATATACAGTGAAGAAGAAGGAAGAGAAAAGATGTGTGAACTGTAACTTTCGGCGTACGTTAGTAAACAGCAGTGTGTTTTAAGTGGAAAAAGCTAAAATGCGCGGATAAGTTAGCATGTGAATTATCTTTATTTTTATGTTTAACGACGTGATGGTAAATAGTAATTATGACAAGGTCTCCTCTAATCTGAAACCCATATTTCTCGGAAGTAGAAGATGTTAAAATTTAATTTTTTACTGTTTCGAATTTTAAGCCGATTATATATGATTCTTGAGATTGGATCGTGTAATATATTTTCCTTATTAGTGTGAAAAAGAAATGATATGATTCCATGATTCCATCTTAATAAATCATATATATTCCATCGTGAAGAGAGATTCATGACCCGTATTGATTCTATGGAATATTATTAAGATATATACAATGTGCCATAAAATCTCTGAAGAATATATATTTATTTCCTAACTTTTGCACCAAAAAGGAATATAAATATTATATAGGTTTATTTCCATTTCAAATCAGGAAAAAAGATAACTGCAAATGGGTGTTTTTTAAGAGCGACCATATGGAATAATTTGTACCGTATCAAATTATTTTGTCCGACGTTTGTTTTCCTTATATTAGAGTTTACAAGAGAACGAGAAAAGAAGCCAAAAATATGCATAAAGAATAGTATTAAATGGATAATATTTTGTGTTTTTGTTAAACATTGATGATTACTTTTAATTGAGTAATTAAAAAAACGTAAGTGATGGAACAAGATATTTGTTGGGTCAAAACCACTACATGGATTTAAATCCTCGTTATATTACATGTTGTTGATAAAGAAAGAAAAAACGTAAAATATTGTTGTTACGATCAAATAGTTTTGTGTAAATATTCTGTCGGAATTAAATACAATCAGGATTCAAGAATTAAACCGATGGAACACATAAATGTTGAGAGACAGAGGAAAAGCAAAATCAATAGCGTGAAAACATAACGCTTACAGAGTATACAGGGTGGCAATGTACTATTCTTTTACGTACCATTGTCTATTGACCGTACCTTATTCATTCACATCTCTTTCCCAATATTCCACAAAATATTTTATTTATTTTATTATTACAATTTACACATTACCAAATTATGATAAATGAATATATCAAATTCGAGACCTCCCCGGCATTTTCCATGTTTTTCAACAACCGAAAACACTATGGAATTTAATTATGTGTGAGTTTTTTTTCTACACACACTATTTGTGTTCCATCTTTTTATATAAGAAAACTGAGTTCCATTTGACAAATACTACTATTAGATGTGAATATGTAGAAATATTTGAGTCCCATACGATCGTAAGTCATAATGTAAATATGTTGGGGAAAAAAAAAAATGTTGGGAAACGATTATATTTTTGGAATTTCTTTTAAGAAAATGGGGAATTTTTTTTATTTTTTTTTGGTAATGAATGGGGAATGTGTTTTGGTGTACACACTGATGATCCACCATGATTGAATGAATATATATTTATTTATTTGCATAATTTTAAAATGTTTCACAAAAAGATGTAGAGTTTTCAAAGTTTTTAATATAATTTTTCAAAGCTTTTCTACATGTAATATAATTTTCAATGTTTTTTTTAAAGTTTTAAAAGTTTTTGATATAATTCTTCCAACATATCATTCAAACATATAATATAATTTTGTATAGAAAGTATTCTAAAAAATCCTGATATTTTACAAATGAAACGACATGGAAATCTAGTACCCATGATGAGTTATCCGAATATTTCATACCCAAATGTACTTACGACATACGACTAAAATATATAACATGTAAGAACTTATGAAAAAATACAATATTTTTGAATATTCAGGGATTAGATTTCATACATGTGATGTCGATTTTTCAAATATTTGCAATAATTAGCTATATATGTATATGTATATATATACCTGAAAAAATAAGAAATCAAAGTGACAAAACCAATCAACATATTAAGAAGTATTAAATGCGTTTATATAAATTTGAGACATTTTCACAAGTGTGTGAGTAACCACTAACCAGAGTTAAAAACTGACCATAGGTTCAGGTTAAGAACAAAAAAAACAAAGAAACAAGTAGCGGCCAACTGAATTAAATGGAGAGACTGCAGTCACATGGTTAGGCATACAAAATAAAGCATCGTGCTGCATGAGAGCCGGTCTAGGGATCTGCTGCGGCCGAACCTACCTTTCTCTTACTGTGTTCCTTCTCCTCTGGTTTTCTCATATCTATCCCACGTTTTGTCTACTCTTCCACTTGTTCATTTTCAAGCTAATACCTAATTCAAGATATTTGTCATTTATCTCAAAATATTAGTACATCTATTGTTTATTAGTAAGTTTTAGAGAAATTGTTAAAAATGCCCCTTTTTCAATACCCCTTTTCAAAAATGCCCCCTTTGAGAGTCCATTTTTAAGTTTGCCCTCTTTTAATTTTTAATGACCATTTTACCCTTATTTGAAACAAAATTAGGTCCACAAAATACAAAATATTTTTTGGCGGGAAAAGTGATCCCGCAATTTTCCCGCCAAAACACTTGTAAAAACCTTTAAAATACCTTGTAAAATTTTCCCGCCAAAAAAAATTTTTTGCGGGAAAAGTGATTCCGCAATTTTTTTGGCGAAATTTTTTTGGCGGGAAAATTTTTGGCGGGAAAAATTTACAAGGTATTTTAAAGGTTTTACAGAGTATTTACAAGTGTTTTGTAAGGTTTTACAATGTATTTTAAAAGGTTTTACAAGGTATAGTACCTTGTAAAACCTTATAAAAAACTTGTAAAACCTTATAACTTGTAAAACCTTATAAAATAGCTTGTAAAATCTTATAATATCTTATAAATACCTTATAAATACGTTGTAAAACCTTTTAAAATACATTGTAAAACCTTATAAATACCCTGTAAAAAACCTTTAAAATACTTTGTAAATTTTTCCCGCCAAAAATTTTCCCGCCAAAAATTTAACGCCAAAAAAATTGCGGAATCACTTTTCCCGCAAAAAAAAATTTTTGGCGGGAAAATTTTTTGGCGGGAAAAAATTTTATGGGAAAATTTTACAAGGTATTTTAAAGGTTTTACAAGTGTTTGGGCGGGAAAAATTGCGGGATCACTTTTCCCTCCAAAAAATATTTTGTATTTTATGGACCTAATTTTGTTATATTTCCTTATATATTTGTGATATCTTTTATTAAAAAAAGGGTAATTTAGTCATTTTGTATATAAAAGGGGTATTTTTAAAAATGGACAGTCAAAGGGGGCATTTTTGAAAAGGGGTATTGAAAAAGGGGCATTTTTGTGAGTCTCCCAACTTAGTGTTGGAGGTCAATATATCTTCTAGGTAATTTCTAATACTATGATTTAGGAAAAAAAACAATTGGTGGTAAATGAAAGAGATTTAAATAATCGATTTTCGCTACTCATTTTTATAAATATCTACAGTAAAATATGTTTGAGTTAAAGCAATTTCAGAATAAATAATGTATTTAGAAATAAATTTCAATATTGTGAAAGGAAGATAACAAGAAAAAAAGTTCCAACTAATAAGTAAGACCAATCATTTCACAAGTGTTTTGAATTTTTTGGGACAATACATTGACTTACATATGGACCAAAATAAGCTCTAAAAATAAACAATGAATGTCCCGGTCGAATAATAAGGTATATATTGATAATTGTTTTATAATTTTGAAAAGTATTTTTCACTATTGCAAACGAAGAAAAAATGCGGAAAAAAGCTCGAGCTAATTTGTAAAACAATTCACAAGTGTTTTGAATTTTCTGGACAATGTACTGGCTAATAGATGGACAAATAAAGCTCCAAAAATCGAAAGTGAATGTCGGGGTCTACAAACGGTGGCATTAAGACATAACTATCATGTGAGTTGGATTTTCCAAATTAGTTTCTAATACTATCGTTTTAAATAGTTCAATTCTGATACACACATCGAGTCAATCAAGAGGCCTAAATTATTGGTGTATCTATGTTCAGAATTTTGTAGAATCCTTTACTACTTTTACTGTGTAAATGACAGATATATTTGCCCACATTGTCGCAATTTGATACTATTACACATGGTTAATAATATCTACCATGATTGGCTTTTATTACCTAGGGAGAAAATAAAAAATATTCATGGATTAACGTAATAGTTAAATAGTGGCTAAACACTGTATATAAACTCTGTTTATGTGTGTGTTCGAGGTCGTTGGTCCAAAAGGTTGCTTTCGGAAATCGAAGACAAGAGTTTAGCTATAAAGAGAAGATTTTTTAAATATATATAAAAAAGTATTACGTTTGTTCGAATCGAAGTGATGTGAAGGTGACCATGTTCCTTATTAATTCATGGTTTTGTCTTGTCGAGATTCCAGCGCGGGGCTCTATATCTACTAACGTATATGGACTAGTCACTTCTTAGTCACGAACTTGGATTTTCTCTTTGTCGTTCAATTAATTTGGTCCAATTTTTTGAGATTTTCTTCTATTATATTATTGTTCCTGCATTGACCCATATAAAATATTATACAAGTTTGCATGGTAATGAAACTAGCCTTAACGGTGCAGGCATGTAGTGGACATTTTTATAACGGTAAAGAAAATGTAGTACTAGTACGTTTTACTTGGTATGAGTAATATATACTAATATCGCTTAACTCACTGTAACCTTCTTATATATATTTGGAGTGGTTGCTAATTGTTATAACTACAC